CATAACGAAAACGGATACGAAGAGGGGCGCATGTATACCATATCTTTCATGTCGATGCCGCTCACGGGGCGTGCCCGGATGCTCTCAAGGGTGGCGCAAAACTTGTTGCACTCTTGTTGTATCACCCTCCATCGCTTCAAGAGAGACACCCACCCACGCTTGCTCTCCATTTTGTACGGTGCAAACTTCTTGTGTTCATGGTACTCACGATGAACACAAAGCCAAAAGGTTGATGCCTTTTGCTCGGCTGAAAGGATCGATATGGTTGATTAGAGGGGGGGGGGGGTGAATAGGCAACTAACAATTTTAGCTTTTCTTTACCAAATTAAACTTAGCATCAAAATAGGTTGCCTAGATATGCAACCAGGTGAGCAACCTATATGATGCAACAACAACTAGCACACAAGCAAGCAAGGGATACAACACAATATAAGCTTGCACAAGTAAAGGTAAGAGATAACCAAGAGTGGAGCCGGTGGAGACGAGGATGTGTTACCGAAGTTCCTTCCCTTTGAGAGGAAGTACGTCTCCGTTGGAACGATGTGGAGGCACAATGCTTCCCAAGAAGCCACTAGGGCCACTGTATTCTCCTCACGCCCTCACACAATGCGAGATGCCGTGATTCCACTATTGGTGCCCTTGAAGGCAGCGACCGAACCTTTACAAACAAGGTTGTGGCTATCTTCACAACTTAATTGGAGGCTCCCAACGATACCGCGAAGCTTCACCACAATGGAATGTGGCTCCGAGGTGACCTCAACCGTCTAGGGTGTTCAAACACCCAAGAGTAACAAGATCCGCAAGGGATTAGTGGGGAGAATCAAATTTCTCTTGGTGGAAGTGTGGATCCGGGCCTTCTCAACCAATCCCTAGAAAATCAACAAGTTTGATTGGCTAGGGAGAGAGATCGGGCGAAAATGAGCTTTGGAGCAACAATGGAGCTTGGGGGAAAAGAGGTAGGTCAACTTGGAGAAGAAGACCTCCTTTTATAGTGGGGGGACCAATCCAACCGTAACCCCCCCCCTTCAGCCTGCAAAGAGCGGTACTACCGCTTAGTAGAGCGGTACTACTGCTGGTAGCAGCGGTACTACCGCGACCACCAGCGGTACTACCGCAGAGATTGAGAGCAGAAGAAACAGGGGGAGAACGGGAGAGAAAAAGAGGGTATGCGCGGCACTAGTAGCGGTGGTAGCCGCGGTACTACCGCTGCTACTGCCGCTACTGTCGTGGTTCCAAGTCTGGCAGTAGTGTAGGGGGGTAAGTATGGAGAGGCAAGATCTTAGCTGTGGAGAAGTTGTAAGAACACAAGGTTTACGAGTTCAGGCCCTTCTCGGAGGAAGTAATAGCCCTACGTCTCGGAGCCCGGAGGCGGTCGACTGGATTATGAGAGTATGAATTACAGGGGTGCGAACCCTTG